AGAGGAATGTCTGTGCTAGGTTGGAGCACTGGTCAAAATACACTAATCTCCTATTGCTTCGGAAGAAAATAAAACTGCTCTAATAACTGCTTACATAAATATGGCCAAGGGTGAAGTGTCTTCTTCACCCCTAGGCAGAGGGTGGTTGGTTTTCTCCTGCCATGTGGGGGCTGGAAGATCATACAGTGTGACTTGTCACTGGCGTTATTGCTAGTATATGTTGTGATCCTACAGTTCATGTAATTGTTTCTGTTTCTAGAAGACACTAAAATACTAATAATAGGGAAATAAGATGATGCTTATAATATTGTAACCAAGGAATTATAGTCTGACAAGATAGATAAATCATGACCTCCAGAATACTCCTTTTACTTTAGTGACCATGCGAATTTTTGCTTTTTTTAATTCCTGTGTTCTGCATTGAGGTAACTTCTCCTGGAATCTGAAGGGGTTAATGCAGAAGTGGTGACAGATTAGTCTGGGACAGGCTGTGATCTGGAGTAAAGGAACTATCCCAAATAGCTGGCCAGCTGCCAAGCGGATAGATGATTTGGAAAACACATCAGCAGAGCAGTGGGGTTCTCTGGAGCAGCTCTGGGTGAGGATTATCTGTCAGTTTAACTGCTCTTCTACATAGTCTGACTGACATACCCGAAGTTCCTTTAGTTTTATATAAGGAAAACTATTAGCAAACATCTATTTTATCTCTGGGCTGCTAATAAATTGAATGAGAAACTCCTCTTTTCTTTCCCTCTAACGTAAGTGTAAAAAGTGGGGGAAAATACTTTGATTAAAACATTTCTGCTCCCTTTTTCTCATTGTTGTTCTCCAGCCAGCCATTGAGCTGATGAAGAGTGTGGAGGGGCTGTAAGAAGGGAGATTTTCTGAAAATAAGGCACATTTCTATGGGAGTCGAATGATTCAGAATTGAGTTCCACATAATTCACCAGGGATCTCTTGCAGTTCAAGTAAAAAGTCTGTCAAGCAGTGGTGAAGTTGAAGAGGTCTGAAGTCTCTTGGGCACAGCTGGTAGGTGGAGTATTTCAAAAGGGGAGAAATGAAGACTCGGGATATGGTGACTGAGCTCCCCATGTTACCCCAGGTCAGCATTTTTGTTTTGTAGGTATAGAAAAATGCTATTGTACTCTTGAATTGTGAATTTTAATTACTGCAAGCAATTAAAAGCTTGTGGTTTGTTTGTTTTTTTTTTTACCAGCCATTTGGTGACCTAGATGACACAAGTGAATGGCCTCAGTCCATTTCTCTTTGAGCAAGGAACCACACTGAAAATATTGCCGTTATGTTGGACTTCCTCACTGGCAGGCTCTGATGGGAGGAGGACGGAGAGGGTTAGAACAGCCAACTTTCTTTCAAGTCCTTTCTGGAAAATTTTCTGCTATTGCTAATATCTGCCAGAGCAACCCCAAGAGCATTAGTGAAGGCAGGCTGTTGGGGCAGCCGTAACTGGGTTCTCAAAACCTGATGGTTCCTTTGCCAGGAGACACCTGGAGCTGTGTCTGTCCTGGCATACTCAGAGTGGAGTCCCAGCATACTCGGCTTGAGTGGAGCTCTGCAAGTGGGAAAGTCTCCAGACAAAAGGCCAGTGTTGACATAGTTGTGGTCTCTCCAGGCCATGCTTGTGACACATCACTAGGGTGGTATGAGGGGAAGTTTCCATTAACCATTGTTCCCAGCTTGCAGCCACCACCACCGTGGAGTTCTACAGCTGGATTTCCAAAAGAGCTTAATACTCAAGAGCTCTCATTTCAGCAACTTAAACAGAGGGGCCAAGTTCTTTCCAGAACACTTGGCAACCGTCAGCCCCCATTGAGAACAAAGCTAAGCACATTAAACAGTCCAGCCACTTCACTGTTGTGAAAATTTGGCCGCTGTTGTGAGTGCAGCGTTCAAAGAACGCAGACTGGCAACAAAGGCAGCTGGCTCCCCACGCCGAGCAGTGAGGTGCTGTGCCTCTGCCCAGCCGCTCCGGCCGGGGCCGTAGGCTTCCTCCTCAGCCCGTTCCTTGTGCATCACAGCCCCTGAGCGGCCCTTCCTCTGGATGTTGTGACAGCTGTGGAGCTTGCTGATGTGAGGATTAGTCGGCTGCTGGGCACATGACGTTCAGATTGCTGTGCTTATTTGACCTACCTCTGATTGCGAGGAATTTAGTGCATAAAAATAACATGCTGAACAAATTTGGCAGAAGGATGCACAGCTAAAGTGCCCTGCACGGACGGGGAGAGGAGCTTGGAGAGGGATGTAACGCAAGGCCTCGTGCTGTACTCCTGCAGTAATAGCGGTGCCAAGTCCAGCACAGCCCACGCTGTCATCTTGGGTTACAGCGAGTACCAGCACCACATAGATGTAGTGGCCATTAGCCAGCAAACTAACACAGACAGGTTCCTGGCTTGTATTGTTGGCAAAAATTGACAGACTAAATGAAAAGGTATCAAGAGCCAGGAGTTGCCTCATGTAAAACGCTGGACAAAGAAATAACCGGGGCTTGTGCCTGGGTTTCTAGACACCCTTAATTAGCTCTGTTGTGCTCGGTGGCGTTGCTGGTCACAGGCGGGAGCGTGGCGGGACGGGAGTCAGCCCACACGGGCTGCTGGAGCCGTGTGTGTAGGAGCCGCTGGCAGGGCAGCAGCCGGCAGGCTCCGGGGGGGATGTTCAGCTGTGTGCGGGATGGGCTCAGGCGTGGCACTAGTGAACTGCATTCGTCTGAGCGAGCTCTACATCGGTACCTGGGAAATCCTGCCTTTGCTGAGGGGCCGGGCCTGGCTGGCTGCTGGCAGAGCTCCTTAGACTAGGGGAAGGGGAATGTGCATGGAGGGAAACAGGCAGGATGGGGATAGCTGCAGGTTCTTGTCCTAGACTGCTTTGTTCATGCGTCACTCTTTACTTTGCGTTGCTGTTGCTTTGCTAAGGTGTTCCCTCAATTTCTTGTGTTTAAAAGGAGCATTTTTGACCTTTCCTTTGTCAGAGAGATATTAGAATTTCTTGAGGCCAGTGATGACGAGGCTTCTGTTATTGTGTAATATGCACATTATAGATACATGATAGTATGTAAACTGATACTGTTAATCTAGAACTTCAGCAATATTTAAATACAGGCTCTTTTGTTCAGGGCAATTAGAAAGCTGGGGCAGATTTCACAATCCACTTGACTTTTAGAAACACCCTGTGTGCTCACCAGAAATATTATGAAAATACCCAGAGCTAGTGTCTTGCTTCATTTTTATCTGCATTACAGAATTTGCAAGATCTGTACATGCATTAAAAAAATACCTTGCTGCTCTGGTACAAGCATATTCACATCAAAGGAAGCTTTCCTGCATTTAATCCTTCAAATAAGCCTGTTTCTGCCAGCCCATGTATGTGAAATGAGATTAGCCGCGCATTTAAAGCGAGGCTCCAGGAACGCCCGGTGCATCGCGGCGTTCGGGCTGGCTTTGGAGCCGTTCCTGGCAGGCGCGTCCCCGCCGCCACCATCGTTACAGACATAGAGGAGGGTGCTTTAAACGCCGGACTCGATGATCTCGGTTCTGAGATTCTGGGATTCTGCGGAACGCACCCGCGCTAATCGCCGCCGTCCGCAGGGCGGCTGGGGCGGGAGGCGGGAAAGGGGAGCGGGGAGCGGGCGCCGCCTGCTGCCTCCCGCCTCCCGGTGTTCTGTACCCTTCGGTAACTTTGATCCTCCTTTCCTCCTCTCCCAGGGCCTGGCGAGCCCTTCCTGGAAGCTGATTTTATCAGCGCCGTTTTAAAATAGAAGTTACAAAAGACGAGCCCTCAGTTAGCGAGCCCTGCTTTGCGCAGTGCAATTCCCACCTGTGTTTTCTTGCCGCGATCTTCTAGATTAAAATAAAAACGACATTGTTAATGCTGGCCTTGGTTTGGAATTGGAAATGACATTTAATGTTTACCGTTTTACACCCAAAATGTTGCAGATGTGGGCACAAATAAGGAAATATTATGCAGTCACAGGATGTTTTTGCAATTATTATGAAAGCTGTCGTATCTCTAAAGTCAAAGTGAATTAGCTAATAGCCAAAATTATAAAAGAATATCTGCTTCAATCAGAGGTCCTCCCTCTGAAGTCTGTGAGGCTTGTACTTCTGAGGCATCTGAAAACTTCTGAAACTTCTGCCCCCGGGGATAGTCCAGGCAGATGACTTTAGGATCCTATTTTTGGAACCTTTGGTTGAGATGTTAAATTGGATTTTTAGTGGGAATGGTGCCTGAATTGGTGCTGTAGGATCTTGAAGGCTTTATCTAAGATTAAAACAGAAAAATGGGAGGGATATAATTCTTTTCTGGGGATGGGCTCCTTTTTTATTAGATTTTATGTACAGTAAAAGAGCGATGTGGCATAAATAAGTGTTCTTTCATTTTGAAGAACATCTTTAAATAGTCATTGTAGCCTTTCGTGTTGTTAGCTTCCTTCACTGTGTTTTAGAATCTCACCACTAGGATTTCATAGAAACTGTCAGTCTCCTTAGTGGAGTGCCTCAGCACAGCTTGGAAGAGATACTGTGGTATTGCAAGTACTGTACAGTGTTTCATTGTAAAGTAAAGGTAACCTGAAAGGTATTTATGAAGAAATCTGTGTATGAAAGAAATGGGAAGGATTGCAGTGTGGTGGTTAACTTCTTCCTGAGGATGTGATCTTAATGAGGTGGCATGGGTTGGAGCAATATGTTTTCTGCCTGCAGTCTAGGGCAACTCAGTGTTGGCTTCAGTGATCTTATGTGGACGTCCACGATGAGCAACTAGAATTAGGAACCAATTCTGAAAATAAAAGCACGAGCATGTCTGGATTTGAATATGCACCCTACAAAATAGACAATCTAATATTTAACAAGAATAGATAGCAAATTTACAGTGAAAGCTTGAAGAATTACTGCTTGTAAGGTATTTAGAGTTCTTCTAAAATCCATGCTCAGTTACGTTATTTACATATTTTCATCTAACACAGCTGAATTTATCCTTTATTTCTGTAGGTCAGATCTTGCCAGCAAACCGAAACACACCAAGTCCCATTGATCCTGAGACTATCCAAGTTCCTGTTGGCTATGAACCTGACCCTGCAGATCTTGCTCTTTCCAGTATTCCTGGCCAGGAGATGTTTGACCCTCGTAAGCGCAAATTCTCTGAAGAAGAGCTGAAACCACAGCCGATGATTAAGAAAGCTCGCAAAGTCTTCATTCCAGATGACCTGAAGGTAAATTGGAACTGGTGACGAGGTTGTTCATACAAACTTTGTGACAGTTACTCTCTGAGATACAGGTTCGGAGCCTGAAACCATTTCCTCGTTTAAGGTAGATCTGCCAGACTAAATACAGCTTTGTTGTAGAATAAAACTCTTCTGAATAAGACCAAAGGGAGGATGCCCCTTCTTGGTTATGCAACAGTTGAAATTCATGAGATCAATATTAATTTCCTTTGTATGCCAGAAACATTCTGCATGACCTTGGACGAACTTACTTTCTCCCATATTTCCCACTTATGAAACAGTCTGATCATATTTCCTTTTCCTCCAGCCTATGTCTGTCTCATCAGTGCAGACTGTGAGTTCCTCAAGGAAGAATCCTGCTCTTTTGGGGTCTCTGGAGGTCCCTGATAATGACAGAATGAAGCATGTTGTGTCTTGGTTAGATCTGTGTTTGGTAATGAATGGGAACACTGTAGTAAACAGTACTGATCTAACTGAAAGAATCTCAGCTAGATGTAGGAAGAGAGAGCTAAGTTGTTCTGCCAAGAGCTGTATTTTAGTACGATAACTTCAAAGACGACATAATAATAATACAGTGTTTGAAAAGAAAGAGCACCTTTGTCTGTACCTTTCACTGCTTCTGAGATGTGATAGAGGCAAAGGGAACGAAGAGAGCAGAACAAATTGATCAACTGATTCAGCTTATCAGACAACTGTGAAAACTGCAATTATTTGCAAACTTTTATTCCCAGCATGTGATTTCCAGAGGAGCTTTTTAGTCAGAGGTAGTGCAGAGTTTCAGTCTGCTGTTGCTCCTGCCCCCTGAGACAGGCCGAAAGCCTCTGGCATCAGTGGGAGCCCTGGCTGCACGTGCAGAGGGGCCAGGCTGCCTGTGTCAGCACCAGACTGACAGCGCTGGGCAAAGAAGCCGGTGCTGTTCGCTGGTTTTATCTCTGAAGATTCTCTTGTGCAGGTTAAAAGCACAGATGCACCTCTCCAGTAGCATTCAGGTGGTGTATTGCTGTCACCTTGTCTGGAGTATCCTCAGCTTTCATTTGGAAAGGTTTATCTGCCCCTGCTGTTACTCACCTGGGCAAATTTTACTACTACTGATGCTCTGTTGCTGTTGGCAGTGTGCCGAGAGGTCTGTCTAAAGAGGAGTGTTTGATATGGGAATGGCTGGGTGGGTGTGAGGAGGTTGGTGCCATTCGTCACTTTGTTCTATCCCCTAATTACACTTACTCATCAGAGCAAACTTTTGCCAAAGCTGCTGTTGGACTAGTCCACACCAGAGATGGAAAATACCAGTGTCTTGCATGCAGCAGTAGGGCGCAGAAGTTTTCAGCCAAAGGCTGAACTGGAAGTTCAGGATCTCTCATTTCCCTGAGATAATGACATCAGTTGCCCTTGACTCATTTCAAAGTGCTTGACCCAAGTGCTGCTTCTGCCCTGGCATGTGGAAGGGCTGTGGAGTTCTGGGGGAGGGTAAGCAGATTAGACCAGTCAATCGTCTCTGGGTTGCATGTGATTTTGCAATGCCAGCCTTACCTCTTCCAGGCCTGGATTAAGGGATTTGCCATAGCAATTTGTTAAAATAAAGAGGGATGAAGCCTAGGTGGCACACTAATAAATTGCTTAAAGCTGATTTTTATGGAGGGGAATGAGATGGGAAATTATAAATAAGATTTGGGTCATTGCTTTTTGCTGCATGTTTGTTTTTAAGAGGATTTTTGGGGGTCCCACCTACGTACAGGTGAAGAGCAGTTGAGAGATACGCTGGCTGTAAGCTGAACTCCCACAGAGCAGTTCCAGGGTACCTGTAGCAGTGTTTCACTCTGGCTTTGCCTTACACGAGCAGCAGCAGCAGATGCAGAGCAGCAGCATTGGCCTGGCGTATGTCATGCTGAGAGGCAGAGGAGCTGAGGGGGTTTGTTCACAACGTGCAGCCTTGGAGCAGATGGCTCCTGCGCCCGGCAGCACGAGCCACAGGGGCAAGTCTGTGCCTCTAGAAATAGAGAGATGGCCCTGGGAGCGCCAGTTCAGCTGTATGAGTTGACCAGGCAATTTGAGGTCTGAATGGTAGCATCCCTCTTCTGCAGGGGACTGAATTTCACTCTTCATGAGAGATTCTGACCACTGAGCTGCTGCCATTCCACTGGAGGCTGCTTCATTGGAGTGGAAATTGGGTAAAATTAGGTGGTTTGTTAGAGCCTTTGATGCACCAGTGCAGTAAGGTGATTCTCCTAGAGGGAGGTCTTTAGGGGTGATGCTTTGGGAATGTGTTAAGTTATGAAACTGTAGAGATTAGTGGACCTATTTCTGACAAATGCCTTTTTTTTTTCCCCTGTGATCAAAGCCTATTGTACTCACCCCTTTGTGGATGGTACCAAAACAGTCAAGTTTTGTGCCAAGGAATCCTCTTCCAGTTCTAGGGTGCAAACAGAAACACTTTGGGGCTCAGTAGGGTGAGAACTTTGAGTAGAAAAAGAGCTGAACGGTAGATGGAATAGAAGATGCCAACAGAGTGAATCAGGTGCTGGTGAAGGTGAGCAGGGTGTTCAAGAGGTGGTTAGTACCTGGTGGTTAGAGGGTGTTGCCACAGGCACAGGGTCAGCGTGGATGTGAGATGAGTTGTACCACTGGAATATTGCTTCATTTTTCCTTGGAGGAATTCACAGTCAAGAGGATGGGGGCTTAGCATTAACATTCTGACAGAAGCACGGGCAGGCGCCTGCGCTCCCCGGCCGGATTGTTCCCTGTGAGCCGTGCCCGCAGTCCCGGCAGCGCCGCGGGAGGGAAGTCCTCCCGTCCGCAGGCC